CCCCCCCCCCCCCACCCCCACCAAAGGAGTGCTTACCTGACATAAGTGCTAAAGATTCCCAGCTCTGATAACGTATCCACTATTCCACATTGACCATGTCGGATCAGGTACGATGTCTGCACAAGTGGCTCGATCCGCTGCATTAGAATGTACGCTCCACGGGCGTGCTTTTCATCTCTCGTTCGCAGCTCGATCAGTTTTTCCCTTAAGCTATCTCCGTAAAGGTTGTTCCCTGCAACAAGAAGAGAGAAAGTGATGGATGCAACATCACCACCGCATGCCAACAATTTCCACGCAAGCTGTGTTCATATTATTACTTCTAAGTTCTCATACTTCATATTATAGGTTATGGGTTTGAACTTTGAAATTTTGAATCCTGCGTTACCAACTGGGACGGCCGGGTGGAAAAACAAGATAAGATAATCTGGGTGGCCTGGGCGGGCAAGGCGCAGGAAAGGTCCCTGTAAAACAAAAAAATAAGATAAAAGAAAAAAGAAAAGAAAAGAAACCAAAAAACAAATCCGGAGTTACCAACCAGGGCGGCCGGGTAACCTTGGTTTCCCGGGCGGTCTGGGTGGGCAAGGTGAAGGGTAGGTCCCAGTAAAACAAAAAATAAGATAAAAGAAAAAACTTCAAAAAAGTAAAGACCATAAACTTTGTAATGACCCGCCATAGCACAGACTGAGAACACTGCTGATTTCTGAAGTTCTGCCCGATGGAATGGATGCCTTGCTGAGATTCCCGCATTCTGCTGAGTTTTCTAAGTCTGTATGTGTGCGTGCTTGTTGACCTGCGTGCCTGTCTGTGTGACCCGCAAGGGTACTTGCTTGTTTGGCAGGCCCATAGGGCCGGTACTTACCTGTGGCCGTGGCTTTGAGGGTTGCAGCAGGGGAAAACACTCGAGTGGCGGAGCCAGAGGCCCGCGGCACTTAGAGCAGCGGAAAAACACTCAAGTAGCAGGTAGGCCGGTACCACACCCAGTAGCAGGAGATGTGCCGGGTACTCGAGGCCGAGCAGAAGAAGACAAAGTTGGCATTTTTAGAGGCCCAGTTGCAGTAGGCTAGGTCTAGGCCGGTACCAGTCCATCCAGTCTGAGTCTAGAGCCTGTACGGGCAATACCAGAGTCTGCAATGATGTTTCCCTCCGAAAGGGAGGAGGTACCAGTTGCTTGGGAGGCCGAGCGGCCTGGAAGTCACCGCCCAGGAGGCAAGTAGGCCGCTATATCAAGAGGCCGAGGGAAGAGCCCGGTCTCATTCTTCAGTGTGCAAGTTTGGCGACACGCTGTTGGAGTGCTGGTTGGAGAAGCGCTGGCTACTACAGCCCTGCTGGGAGGAAGAAGCCAGGAGCTTCCACGTTGGCTATGGTGGAGCTCTACCGGTGGGAAGAGGAGGGAGAAAGGGACCAAGGAGGAGAGTGGCAGGGTACTTACCTGGCTATGGTGGACACCATCTTCATCACCTTGATAGGCGTTGCATCTGGAAGGCCCCAGTTGGGGTAGTGCCGCACCGAGGAAGCTTGGGGCAGAGACAGGCATGGTGGCCTAATGAGCAGCGGCATAGCTGCTTTGGGTTGTCCTTTGCACAGGAAGGCAGCGACATAGCTCCTTTGGGTTGTCCTTTGGACAGGAGGGTTGAGCCCTCAGTAGTTCGCCATAGCCTCAGCCTACATGTGAGAGGAAGGAGAAAGGGTGGCCATGGCTATGGTGGACCTCATGTTGTGCCTGCAGTAGAAGAGGGATTCGGACATTGATTCTGGTTCAGCCATTCAACATTAGTATTGTTATTTCTTTTTTTGAATAAGAGTGGAGGAGATAATACCTTTCTCGGCCTTTTGGCTAAGATCAAGTGTAGTATTTGTTCTGATCAGTTTAATATCTGATCTGTGGGACTGTCTCTTATACACATCTAGATGTGTATAAGAGACAGCCTTTGGGTTGTCCTTTGGACAGGAGGGTTGAGCCCTCAGTAGTTCGCCATAGCCTCAGCCTACATGTGAGAGGAAGGAGAAAGGGTGGCCATGGCTATGGTGGACCTCATGTTGTGCCTGCAGTAGAAGAGGGATTCGGACATTGATTCTGGTTCAGCCATTCAACATTATTATTGTTATTTCTTGTTTGAATAAGAGAGGAGGAGATAAGGAGGAGGAGATTGGTTGGCGAAGAAGAAGAGCATTATCTTTGGTCTATGCTGGAGTACATCATCTTCTTCTTCTTTCTTTCTTCTTCGTCTTCTTCTTTCCCTCCCTCTCCTCTCAAGTTCATTCATTTCTTTTTGCAATTGGATGGCACTGTACTTTCTGATGAATGTATACTTCGAAATTGGCCAGGATCATAACAACTTGAATAAAGTTTAATAAACCAAAAAATCTGGAAAAAAGACTATGTAGTATGTTGTGCATAAACATCAACTGAAAAGACTTTTGCCTTAACGTCAACTTCCGATTTTGTATGTCAAAAATAACCCCAAATGTTGTGCAAAAAAATCAACTGAAAAACTTTTGCCTTAGGCTGACGCCAACTTTGGATTTTGTACGTTACAATTTGATGTGAAACTGAGAAAGCCGCATGCAATAAAAAAAAAAAAAAAAAAATTAAAAAAAAACAAGAAAGATACATACCACCTCCTTCTCTCTGCGGCTTCAAGACAAAGCGATGTGGGTTCGCGATTGCCTCACTGATGATCTCATCACTGTCTTCCCCTTCGAGGCTCCACAATCCAGCAAAGAAGCGCCGAAGAGCTGAGGCTGATTCTGCGCTGCCAATGAGCCTAAACGCAAAACATGAACAAGCAATCAAACCAGTTATTCCAAACGGCGTTCGGATCGAGAGGATGAGAGAGATCATTGTTGCAGTACAGAATCCGCAGGAGCTCGGTCGGTCACCCTCAAGGTGAGACTAATGAAGTACGCACCTCATCATCAGATTTGCCTCAAAGTCAAACAACATAAAACAATAAAAATAGCGCCATGGTATTGCTTATATATTCAATCACCTTCCAAGTAACAGCGACAATCAGTTTTGTGGAGTTGCTACCATTCTCACCCGAATAGAACGCCCGGTAATAATGGACGTATCTGGACTGGAATACAGCTGTAAAGACCAGGCGTTCTATTCGGGTGGAGACCGTAGCTCAAAAGTCAAACAATAGTGAATCATTAGTGATGATGATGATGCGAATCCAACATCTCTGTGACAACATGCCTGGCCAGCAGGATAAACAGTGTTTTCTATTTCGTTTGGTGGTAGAGATTCATAAGGGTCCATTGAAAGAAAGTGAACACCACACAAAGTAGGATCCCAAATATACATGTCCTTCGGGACATCCGTTAAAATTGGAACGATACAGAGAAGATTAGCATGGCCCCTGCGCAAGGATGACACGCATAAATCGAGAAATGGTCCAAATTAAAAATAAAAAATAAAAAAAAAGGATCCCAAATATACAAGTGCTATACGGACATTGAAACAAGTAGATAGAGATACAGATGGAGACAGATAGATAGATCACAGACGGACGTATAGAGAGAGAGATGGCGAGCGAGCAGGTTTTACATACTGCATTCCACACGGGCCCTTTCAGGCCCGACGACTAGGCTGAGGGGTTCCGAGGGCCTGGACGCGATAGTCCAGGCCAGGCCGGCCCAAAGGCCGGGCCTTTTTAGGTCGCCCCTTTGGCCTTGCGCAACCAGTTCCAGACCAGGCCCTGCAGCCGCAGGCCCTGGGCGGGAAATGGCCAAACGTTTTCGTTTGGACCAGGCCGCCGTTCAGGCAGCCTGTTTTCCCGAAAACCGGTCCGACCTGAACCACGGATCAGACGATAGATCCGACGGTTCAGATCAGAGGCCACCTTCGGAGGCAGAGGCCGATCCGGCCGCCGGCCTGTATTAGCCAACAGCCATTTCCAGGAGGGGGGGGAAGTGCGACAGCACTGAGGAGCAAAACGCTGCGCTATTTCTGTTCCAGCACAGTGCTAGGCAGCAGCGCTAGGTGTAGCGCTGGCTGTGGAGAGAGAGAGCGAGGAGGGAGACTTACCTGATAGCAACCGCGAGCGCCATAGCCCCCAGCGGCACAGCTGTCTCCAACAGCAGCCAAGGCGCCACCTTTCATCATCAGGTAGAGCCTAGGGCTACTCGCCATCTCTACCGATGCTCTGCACCTCTCAGATCTTCTTCTTCTTCTCCTTCTTCTTCTTCTTCTTCTTCTTCCTCTTCCTCTTCTTCCGATGAGAGACTTTGGGTACGAGATGGACAGAGATCAGTGATTGGACTTCGGTGGTAGGAAGATGTGATACTTACCGGATTCGAGACATTGGAGATATTTGGGATTGATACCTGGCAGCATCACAGATCGGACATCGGTTACATCAGGATTCTGTACCTCCGGCATTGGTGACTAATGTCTACAACATTCTGATTTGTTCGGTGACATTTTGGGCTACTATATCGGTGACATTCGGGATTCTATTTCGGTGACATCTGGCGCTGTCCCTATCTCCCACCTCCACCGTCTCTCCTCCCACCATTCATCTGTGTATGGGTGTACGGGGCTGAAGCATCGTCTATGTATGGCTTCAGACCCCACCATCTCACGATTGTTTGTGTGTTGAGTGATGCCTAGGTGGGTTCAGTCTATGTGAGTCAGTCCATATCTCAGACTTCCGCTGCATATATGCTCATCCTATATTGGTTGATCTTTGGTTCTACCCATACCTGGTGAATGTATTCACTAGAGTATGCAACAGCAGGGGAGAAGAGGGAGGTGGGGTGAGGGTGGCGGGAGTGGAGAGTAAGGAAGAGGGAGCGAGCGAGTAAGAGAGAGAGAGAGAGAGAGAGAGAGGG